TTGACTTTACAAAATTGTCCGCGGTAGTGTTTTGATTTATGTTATGTTTTTTTTTTTCTTTCATTAAATATCTGAATGATTTGTATGTTGTATCATTTTTGGAAGCAAAGATTTAGTTTTACATATCTATCCCTCAGCACATCTGCGAGAATGAACCATTTGTAGGTCAGAACGACCGAGGTCTCGTGCGTCAGTTGGTGCTGGCACGAAAAATATCCCTCACAGCTCAATGGCCCAGTCCGACAAATCTAAAAAAAGCCAGGAAAACGTCAGATTTTTGGACATGGCCCAGACTGTTGCCAAAAGGGCGAAATTTGTAAAAATAGGGGTTACTGTATATTTTAATATACATAGTCGTGGGCAAAAATATTCGTCATTTTTACAGGCATTGCGTTAATCGCGATGTATCTCTGCTATTTTTCACTTGCGCTAATTATAGAGCAAACGAATTTGAATGAAACTTTCAATGAAAGATAGAGAATTTACGTCACGATTTTGTGACACCAGTTATACTCTGTCCCACCAAGTTACTGTAAGCACTTTTCGCATAATATTCAAAATATATAAATCCCTTTGGGCCTTAACCCAGTTCCGATTGATAGATCTTTTTTTTTTCCCAACCTTCCTCCGTTTATCCGAACCCTCGAGGTCAACCAGTGTATACACACGGCGGCAAATTAAAGTCTACGGGGATTTAACATGGTAAACTCGTCCATTAGCGTCTAGAATACGGGGCCGGGAACCAGTTTTCAAAGGGAGTAGTCGTTCTTTGTAGAGTAAAATTCCAAAAATCTTTAAAAATTAAAGGAATTCATTTAAATTGCTTTTATTGATAAAATAACTTTTACTTCGAAATAAAATGAATTTTAACGGCATTTATAAAATTTAATTATAAACTGCGAGAAAATAGTCCGAATCTAACGAAGTACAACTTGTGATAATGGATGTTGACATGATGATAAAAGTTTGCCGGGTTTTAAAAACGTAAGGCGGTAAGTTGTTTATTTAATCTATGGTATTATTTTGTAGCTGTTGTTGTTTTACTAGCTTATATACACACAAGAAAAATGTTACAAATGCTCAGAATATATTTATATTTATTTCATTACGCGTGACATGCTGACATTGATTCAGATATCTGCTTAGGGTCATCGTAAACCGTTAGTGCTGTAACGGTTTATGTAAGCCAATGTGTGAAAAATGTAAAAGGGGTATATCTATGATTATATGATGGAAGAAGAAGATGGTTAAACAATTAGGTGAAATGATACCAAATGGAAATAACAGCTGAAATTTTTAAAATTTTATTTCTACTTAACTTTCATTTTCAATTTATAACATTTCATGTACGTACATTTGGCAGATTAATAAAAAAGAATTAAGCAAGAGATCTAAAGTGCATTTTTATTTATTTTTACATTTATGTGTAGTATCAACACCCTGGAGACCTTCCTTACTAAATTCAGTAGGCTCCAGTATACTCATAAATGTGTATACTATATATTCAGTTTAACTTGTTAAGATTTGTAGCTTTTAATGAGGGATATATTTTCATTTCCAACTGCAAGATCATGGTATTAAACTAAAATGTAAACAAATATGGTCACCAGCTGATGTTACAACCCCAAAGGGGTGAGACAGAAATTCTCTATATTATAGCTATTGCATTTATATATGTATGTCATGAAATCCTTTTTCCATATAGAAAAGTTTGGAACATGTAGATCGACACATAAATGTTACAGACCATTCAAAATTTTATCAGATATACCCCATATACCCCCCTCCAACCTTTTTTTTGGGGGGGGGGAGTTAAACTTTGGTCAAAAATTCTTAGTCTGACTTATAGGTGAGTTATAAAAAAAGGTTGGGATCTTTCAGGGTCAATCATTTAAACCCCCTCTTTTTTATAAGCTTAAAAAATGCAACCAACTTATAGGCCAGTATGCACGGTACTCAATTGTAATAATAATTCATCTGTTAATATTTCCATGCTGTAATTGTCTTTTATATGTTTTAATATAATATAGGCCCTCTTAAAATATTGTTTAGTTGCCCTTCTGACCAAAAATGCCCCAACTCAAAACCTTTTTTTTTTTTTAAATTTCAGGGCATTTATTTTTTTCTTCTTTTTATTCCCTTTATCCCACCAACAAATTTGTTGAAATTTTATGGGGAAAAAAAAAATTTTCCCCCCTATCCATTGGACCAATAATTTTACCTTGATTCAGTGGGGGGGGGGGGGGGGGGGCAAACAAACATTATTTTAAAAGGGTGGCAGTAATAATTTATTGGTCTGATACATAAAACACTTGGTCATGGGCTCATAGCTATGTCTCAGGTTTAAACTTTTCCTTGCTTGAAAGAGATGATGATTCTTTGCTAATTTGACACATGGTTTTTGTAGCACAGGGGATGACAAATCCCATTACCCGACACCCAATGCTAGTGAATTTTAGGTATGGGCAAGTAACTTATTAAACTTATTAAAAATAAAATCAGTATTTAAGCCACAAAGCTGGGCATAGGGACTTAAAGGGCTACCCATGCAGATTTTTTTTCCCCTTTTTTTTTTTTATTAAATTCATAAATACCGGTAGTACAATATTAGTTTTTGGTAGAACAAGAAAAAATTCAGTTAGGGCAAGTAAATTTTAACCATGTTCTTTCCCTTGGACGGGTGCCAAACCGTTAAAAATCTATTTGTCAGTCCCTGTAACATGTCAATCACTGGACACCACATTACTGAGTTATGCATAGCACATTGTCTAAGGATTTCAATAATAAAAAACAAAACAAAATATGGTATGGAATAACAGTAAATAATTTATTTTACAATTAAGAAAACATCGTACATACATTATATGTAGTTTATAAACAGTCTCAGCTAATTATTTAAATGTCTACAAACAATTATTTTTTACCTTGCAATAAAGTTAATATGTGAATTGCCAAATTTTTTTTTATACAAAAATCATGATAATGAATTAAGAATACATTATAAAAAAAAAACTAGGACTTAAGTTAACGAGTTAATCAGCCTAGCATTGAAATTCTCCTTAAATATTTTGCACACAGAAACTAATTGCTATACTAGTAAATCAAACATAGAAATAAGATATTTTAAAAAAAAATTAAATTGCTTACTTGGACTGTATGTAAACATTTGACTATGCCACAAAGACGGAAGTTTACAGACATCTCTGTCGTGCCAGTGACTCCATTATCATGTAAACCAACAATGAAATGTGTACTGAATATTGTAAACCTCTGTTATATATTTTTTGGGCCCCCTGTAGGTATATGTATATGCTTTACCACATTTTGCTATTGTAGTCTAGATTTTAACAATTATTTTCACATATTGCAGTAAATTACTGCTAATTATGCTAGACTACAAAATGTTACTTTGTTCAGTTCATTTTGTTATATCTTTTTCCGGATTTGTAATATCTTACGTAATTGGTTTTTGCTTATAATTTGATGCTTAATTACATTGCGCAATAATTCAATAAAGTAGTTCGGATTCAGCCATCTTGTGTGTTACATGTGCTCTGCATCACTATCCAACAAATTGGCGACGAGGAGTAAAACGGAAGCATCAATGAGCCATGGCATTGATCATCGGAAAGGTGGGACCTTACGACGAATCGTTGGAAACGTGGGAGTCGTATACAGAACGTCTGGGCCAATATTTTATTGCAAACGATGTGAACGAGGATCTGAAGGTCCCCTTACTTCTTTCTATCATCGGGCCCAAATACTACACATTGTTGAAAAATTTAGGGCATCCACAAAGCCCTCTACAATGACTTTGCCGAACTCATTCAGAAACTTACAGCACATTTAAGTCCCAAACCCTCAGAAATTGCTGAACGTTTTCGTTTTCAAAAACGTGATCAGGCTGCGGGGGAGAGCGTGACTGTTTACATGGCAGAATTACGTCGTTTAGCGATACATTGTAATTTCGGGGATTCGTTAAGTAAGATTTGAGAGACAGATTTGTAGTGGTTAAAGCAGGAACACATCCAGAAACGACTGCTTGCCGAATCACAGTTGGATTTAGAAAAAGCCAATCAGCAGCTGTCGCCATGGAAACGCTAGTCGCGACGCACTAGAATTACAGGGAAAGCGTGAAAGTGTCAATAAACTTTCTGTGAATAAAACAAAGAAAACGAACTATGGTAAAATGAAACCAAGACCACTACCAAAACCAGTACAGGGAAAATGTTAAAGATGCGGAGGGGAACACAGAGCAAATGACTGTAAACACACAAACACAAAATGTAGATATTGTTAAAAAGTGGACATTTGGAGAGAGTGTGTTTTAAGAAGAAGCGTGAAAACGGGGAAAACGAATTACGTTGATACAGATGAGTACGGAATAACAACTATGAAGAAAATGGTGGTTATTGCTGCATTTCTCAAGCTACTACAGAGATGGAAAAGGTCCATAGACCCCATCATCGGACTCCGAAAATTGCAGGATCTGACATTCCTATGGAAGTTGACACAGGGTCTGCTGTGTCGATCATCTCTAAGATACGTTGGACAAATTCCTCAAGTCATACACCCTGAGGATACAGATACTCGTTTAAAGACTTACAGTGGGGAGCAGATCCGTCCAGTTGGAAAAGTGCAGGTCAAGGTCGATTTGAATGGACAGAGTGAAACTTTGGACTTACTTGTGGTGAAGCAGGAAGGCCCAACACTCATGGGACGAAACTGGATGAAATTTCTACGATTGATTGGAAGGAAATCAAATCAATTAGATTATCGAGTGACAAACAGAAAATTTCCGGGAGAATGACGCAGGAAATTCTGGAGAAACATAAGAAGGTGTTTGAACCAGGAATCGGAAAACTGTCGGACATCAAAGGAAAACTTACAATGCAGGATGGGTGAGCCCAAAATTTTACAAGGCCAGAAAGTGGCATATTCCCTCAGACCTCGGGGGAAGAGGAACTGATTACAGCAGGAAGGCGTCATCTCACCTACCGAGTTTAGTGATTGGGCAACCCCAATAGTACCCCTACCTAAGGCAAACGGCAAAGTGAGAATTTGTGGTGATTACAAAGTGACAGTTAATCCTGCCTTGAAAATTGAACAATATCCATTACCAAAGATAGCAGATATCTTTGCGTCCCTTAGCGGAGGACAGAAATTTAGCAAGATTGACTTAACGCAGGCGTACTTACAGATGGAAGTGGATGACACATCCAAGAACTTGCTTACCATTAACACACATAAGGGACTTTTCCGCTTTAACCGACTTCCCTTCGGAATCGCTTCCGCTCCTGCCATCTGGCAAAGAGCCATGGACCAAGTCCTTGCAAACATTCCAAAAATAAATGCATTTTGGACGACATGATTATTACAGGCTCGACAGATGAAGAACACTTACAGAATCTCAGTCTTGTGCTCGAGAGACTCGAACAACACGGTCAAGGGCAAATCTGGAGAAGTGTGAATTTTTTAAAGGAAAAAAAGTTACTGTGGACATGTAATCAAAGATGGTTTACATAAATCCAGTGACAAAATAAATGCTGTCAAGAATGCACCAAAACCTGAAAATGTGTCTCAACCGCGCTCATTCTTGGGCCTGTTGAATTACTATCATAGGTTTCTGCCAAACCTTGCTACAGTGGTTGGACCGTAAATGAGTTATTACAGAACAACAGGAAGTGGACATGGAATCCAAATGTGAAGAGTCGTTTGTGAAAGTGAAAGAACTTATCACATCAGAACAAGTTTTGTGCCATTACAACCCTTCATTACCTGTTCGTTTAGCTACGGATGCATCGCCATACGGAATTGGTGCCGTACTTTCACATGTCTTTGAGGATGGAGCTGAACGTCCCATTGCATTTGCTTCTCGCTCGTTGACAAAGGCAGAGAAGGGATATTCCCAGATAGATAAGGAGGCATTAGGCATATACTGGGGAATACAAAAATTCCATACCTACCTCTATGGACGCCGGTTTACACTAGCTTACAGACCATAAGCCGCTTGTTAGTATTACAAACCATATTACAGACCATAAGCCGCTTGTTAGTATTTTTCACCCAGAAAAATCACTACCCGCCATGACTACTGCTAGACTTCAGCGATATGCTATATTCCTATCTAGCCATAATTACAGTATAGAGTACCGGAAGACAGCTAACCATGGAAACGCTGACGGACTTTCCAGACTTCCGCTGACTTCATCGACAACCGATACGGATACCACAGATGAGGATATCGACACAATCTACTACTCATCACAGTTTGAAAACTTACCTGTATCGTGTGACCATGTGAGAAAAGAGACTCAACGTGATCCTATTTTATCTCAGGTGCTTGACATTGTGTTACAAGGTACACGGGACTTTCCCTCGGGAAATGAATTCAAACCTTACAGAAATAGACATATGGAACTCACAGTGCACCAAAATTGTCTACTTTGGGGAAACAGAGTAATCATTCCTACAGCACTACAAAGAGAAGTTTTGTCTGAACTTCATAGAAGTCACACAGGGATTGTGAGGACAAAGAGTCTCCTAAACTATGTTTGGTGGCCAAAAACGATATTGATATTGAGGCTATGTGTCAGAGCTTTCCGATTGTCAACATTCTTACCAAAACCCCAATGCTCCTTACACCCTTGGGGAAAGGACATATTCACCATGGGAGAGAATTCATGTGACTTTCTGGACCTTTTTAAAAGGGCGCATGTACTTCATTGTTGTTGACTCTCATTCAAAGTGGCCGGAAGTTGTGCCATGTCTTCAACAACATCTACAGCAACAGTCAACGTTTTACGAGAAACTTCTCACGTCTCGGACTACCTAAGACATTAGTTTCTACAACGGACCACAATTAATTGCAGATGAATTAAGGGTTTCCTACGACAAAACGGAGTGAAGCATGTGACATCTTCACCTTACCACCCGCGTACGAATGGACTTGCGGAACGCTTTGTTAGGAGTTTCAAAACTGCCATGAAGAAGCATAATAAAATCACTAACAAGGAAATCAATTCATTCCTAATACTTATCGCATTACCCCCCCGCTACTACAGGGGAGACACCTGCCAAAATTTCTCATCGGACGTAACCTAAGGACACTTTGGGTTTTTGAAACCTGACATCAGTGACAGAGTAAATCTGAAGCAGGACATGAAATTATCAAGACATACAGGATCCAGCGTGCGCATTTTACCATTGGACAATCCGTCATGGTACGAGACTACAGGGACAAACACCATGGATTCATGCCACTGTTATAGCCAGTCTAGGACCCTTACTTTCCAGGTCAAAACCGAGGAAGGAGGAGTGTCTGGCACATAGATCAAATGAGGAGAACATCAGAAAACATGGGGAAAAAACAGTTACGGCACTTTAGATTCTAAGTCAATAGTTCCGAATGAGATATACGCTGCACCACCTACAAACGATACCATTTCACCTGTGACACCGGCAATTCCAAGTCGTGCAACACAAAGTACCAATCGTAACATACCTTGCGCAGACTGTTCAACTGGAGGCAAACCTCATGTCGTACCAAAACAGATTGTTACACAGACACCACCACCTTGTGATAACGTTACCCTGTGCGCGACCGAAAACCAACAAAGCGATTGATTGCCGAGTGATCTTTATTTGTGTTAAATGTGTTTTGAGGCATAATAATCCTCACCATATGAATAATTGTAATTGCATGAATTTGAATTCTTTATGTTAAAAGTCAATTATAAGTTTGATTCTTAATTAATTTTGATTTACATTTGATTAAGTTGATTAGGACATTTGCAGATGTTACAGACATTGACATTGAGGAGGGAGGATATGTTTATCTTTTTCCGGATTTGTAATATCTTACGTAATTGGTTTTTGCTTATAATTTGATGCTTAATTACATTGCGGAATAATCCAATAAAGTAGTTCGGATTAGCCATCTTGTGTGTTACATGTGCTCTGCATCACTATCCAACACATTTCACACCACCTTTGTACACATTCAATGTTTGGTTGAAAAAACCTTAAGTATTACATGATAAAACCATAATGCAAACAGACAGTCATATACAAAAACTTTTTAAAAATTTTGAGTAAAAATGCATTGCATATGTAAATAACAATTACATCTCTGTGTGAAAAAATCTTACAATTCAAACATTTACTTAAACAATTTCATTGAATAGCAATTACAATTTAAATATAAGAATACTGCTATTTTCACATAAAATGAATAGATTAATTGCAGTGAATTATTATGAGTAGATAAGTGAAAAAAATTGTTGAACAGCCAAATCTTTACAAAGAAGAAAAAGATTGAAAATACATGTAGATGTAGATTGCAGGAGAAAATAGCAAAATTTTTATCAAAGCTAGTATGTAGAATGAATACATTAAAGACAGGAAAAATATATAAATCTAATTAATTAATTACAACAGTACAGTTTTTATATTTATCATAAATTCATATAGTTCATATTTTTGAAATAAGTACTTGTATATACAATTTAACAATAACATAATAAATATATCACAACACATTCTATCACAGTAAATTTATGATGCATAATATATATGCTTGAAATTATACTATATACAATTTAACAAAAACATGATAAATATATCACAACACACTTAATTATCACAGTAAATTTATGATGCAGAAATGAAACTACAGTAGAAATTTTATATCTTTTTGTTTCAGTTAAATAAATTGTATTAAGAATTAGTACCAGTTTTACTGTACATTGGTGAATTAATTAAAACCAATGAAATTGTATAGATTTGTATAACTTTCCTTGCAATTGATTATATGTATATAAGTTAGATAACAGCATATATCAAATCAGATTTTATCCAAGTACAACAGGAATTATCTATATATTTATGCTTGAATAAAGAAATGTTTCAATATTAAAATTACCGATGAATTTAAACCACTGAAACTTGTACATTATTTTTTTAACAGTTGATTGAATTTTACAAAGTATAATAATGATAACAAGAAATGAAAAATATATTTATCATGCAAGTCCCAATTGTAGAGGAGAAATGGACCACAATAAGGAACTGAGACTAAATGCTGGCCTGTGAAAAGTTAACATGCAGGAGATACAGAGGAGGGGAAGCAGCTTCACTCATCTAAAGTCAGGTTTGTTGGTTCGGTAGGGGGCATTGTGTGTAACTAATCATGTAATATACTTTTCAATTCCATACCCAAAGGTAGAGTTAAAGCATACACATACTATGAAATATAATAATTTCTTTACCTATGTCCTTTTCTCCTTTTGCAGTTCATTAAATCAATAAGAAAATGAGAATGAAATTTATTACAAGTCTGTATATTTAAAAAAGTAAGTTTGAAATCATTTTTGAAACAGCAAGGGGACAAATATTGTAATTCATATACAAGCATTCTCATAAAGTGTAGATTTCAGTTTGCATGGATCTGCAAACGGGAGTTCAAACCAAGAAGTATATTCATTACTTTCAGTGATACATGTAGTACCCAAAACAGAACTTGTCTTAGATATTCTTATGATAAATCTGTATACCAAATTTAGATCATTTCAGTAACTGCAACAGTTGTGAAGATAATGAACGGAAGCTTGGTAGACTGACAGACCGACCGACAGACAGTAGCAATGAAGGGGGCATATAAAGATTAGTTACACACACTCCCACCTTTTGAAAGACAATTAATCATTTAATAATGCATGTATCATAGATGTACCAGTTAATTTATATTGATTAAACTGTTTACCATATCTCTAAACTAGATAACATGAAATAAAAGCCTGAGGACTTTTTTGCCATAGCCACAAAGAAATGAATGGAGCAGATTGTGTTTACTTTTTTTTCATATATGTCTCTCATTTTGTCATTGTAA